CCTATACAAACCCTCTTGGAAAATAGGGAAAGAGAATGCTTTCAGCTCATTTCTATGAGACTTATAGTATTGCTCCCAAAGCCAGACAAAGAAATGGAAAGGAAAATTCCAGATCATATCCTCAAAAAAAAAAAAAAAAAAAAAAAAAAACATACAGAGTTTGCAAACAAAATAATAGCAATCTGAATCCAGGAATATGCTAAAGTGTATTTTTTAACCATGTTGAGATTATCCCAGGAATACAAGATTGGTTGTTCATCTGTAAATCAATTAGTACAATATGTGGTATTAGTAAAATACAAAAACACTGAGTCATTTAAAGAAACCAAAAGAGTTGACAAAAATCCCAAAACATTCAAGATAAAATTCTAGATATAGAAATAAGGCATATCCAAAAAATGTATCACATGGAAAATTTTTATAGTTTTAATCTTTTTATGTATATTTGTTTCTAATCATTTTTTGCTTATGTTGTTAATTAAGACAACCCCCCTTTTTCCCTTCCATTACTGGTTATTCTAGCATCATTTATAGAAAAGATTATCTTTATTTTATTTCCTTGCCACTTTTGTCTCCCCCCCCCCCAAAAAAAAAATCATACGTGTCTGTATTTCTCCCTTTTTTCTCCTTATCATTGATTTACTTGTTGAACCAATACCACATCATCTTTTTTTTTTAAGAGAGAGAGACAATTTTTTTAATATTGATTTTTTAGTTTTCGGCAGACATACCATCTTTATTTTATTTTTATGTGGTGCTGAGGATCGAACCCAGCGCCCTGCACATGCCAGGCAAGTGTGTTACCGCTTGAGCCATATCCTCAGCCCCCCAAACCATCTAGATTACTGTTTATTTTTTACTTTTGGTACTAAAAATTGAACCCCTGAGCTACATGCCCAAGCCTTTTATTTTTTGAGACAGGAATCTTAATAAATTGCTGAGGCTGGCCTCGAGTTTACAGTCTTTCTATTGCACTCTCAAGAGTCACTGGGATTTTAGGTGTGTACCACCATCCCTGCTTTATCTTATTTTGAAATTTGATAAATAGTATTCTGACTTTTTAGTTTCCAAATCATTTTAGCTCTTTTAGATTCTTTATATTTCCATGTAGGTTTTAGATCATTACACCAATCTTTCTGGGATTTGTTATTATCATTGCCTTGAATCTATAGATCAATTTATAGAGAAGTGCCATGTTAATAATAGCAAGTTTTTCAATCCAGAAGCAACTTACGTTTATTTTTACTTTGGATTTTCTTTAATTTCTCTGGGCAATGTTTTATAGGTTTTTTTTTTTTATAATTAGTTATACAAGAAAATAGAATATATTTTAACACATCATACATAAATGGAGTATTACTTCTCATTCTTTTTGTTGTATATGATGTAGAATCACACCAGTCATGTAGTCATATACACACAGGGAAATAATGTCTAATTCATTCCACTATCCCTCCTACTCCTATAGCCCCTCCCCTCCCTTCACTCCCCTCTATCTAATCCAAAGTATCTCTGTTCTTCCCTAGCCCCTATCCCTTCTTATAAATTAGTATCCACATATCAGAGAAAACATTTGGCCTTTGGTTTATTTCCTTTAGCATGATAGTCTCCAGTTTCATCCATTTACTGGCAATTGTCATCATTTCATTCTTCTTCAAGGCTGAGTGATATTCCATTGTGTATGTATACCACATTTTCTTTATCCATTTATCTCTTGAAGGACACCTAGGTGAGCTACTTCTTGCGCTTTAGGAGTCATGTTAAGGAAGTCCCCATCCAGGGCTGACATGATGAAGATTTGTGCATACTTATTCTTATATTAGGCACAGGGTCTCTGGTCTAATTCCTAGGTCCTTGACCCACTTTGAGTTGGGTTTTCTGCAGGGTGAAAGGTAGGGGTTTAATTTCATTTTGCTTCATATGGATTTCCAGTTTTCTCAGCACCATTTGTTGTAGAGACTCTTTTCTCCAGTGAATATTTTTGGCACCTTTGTCTAGTATGAGATAACTGTATTTATGTAGGTTTGTCTCTGTGACTTCTATTCTGTACCATTAGTCTACATGTCTGTTTTGGTGCCAATACCATGCTGCTGTTGTTACTATTGCTCTGTAGTATAGTTTAAGATCTGTTATTGTGTAGCCTTCTGCTTCACTCTTCTTGCCAATGATCGCTTTGGCTATCCTGGGTCTCCTATTTTTCCAAATTAATTTTATGATTGCTTTGTCTAGTTCTATGAAGAATGTCATTTGGATTTTAATAGGAATTGTATTAAATCTATATAATGCTTTTGGTAGTATGGCCATTTTGACAGTATTAGTATTTTGACAACATTAATTCTGCCTATCTAGGAGCATCTTTTCATCTCCTGAGGCCTTGTTTAATTTCTTTCTTTGGTGTTCTGTAGTTTACATTGTAGAGGTCTTTCATCTCTTTTGTTAGATTGATTCCCAAGTATTTATTTTATTGAGACTACTGTGAGTAGAATAGTTTTCCTAATTTCTCTTTCAGTAGATTCATCACTGATAATATAGGAACACATTTGATTTATGGGTGTTGATTTTATATCCTGCTGTTTTTTTCTGGTGGAATGTTTTGGATCTTCTAAATATATAGTCATATCATTATGGTACTACTACCAAATGGTGGTAGTTTGAGTTTTTCATTTCCTATTTGTATCCCTTTATTCTTTCTTCTAATTGCTATGGCTAGTGTTTCAAGGATGATGTTGAACAGAAGTAGTGAAAGAGGGCATCCTTGACTTGTTTCACTTTTTAAAGGGAATGCTTCCAATTTTTCTTTCTTTAGAATGATGTTGGCTTTAGATTTAGCATATATAGTTTTGATAAATGTTGAAGTATATTCCTACTATTCCTAGTTTTTCTAATGTTTTGAATATGAAGGAGTGGTGTATTTTGTAAAATGCTTTTTCTGCATCTATTGAGATGATCATATAATTCTTGTCTTTAAGTCTATTGATGTGAAGAATTATGTTTATTGATTTCCATATGTTGAACCAACGTTGCATCCCTGAGATGAATACCACTTGACTGTGGTGCATTATATTTTTAATATGTTTTTATATGCAATTTGCCAAAAATTTAATATTTTATAGTTATAGTTGGACAAAATACCTTTATTTTATATATTTATTTTTTTGTGGTGCTAAGGATTGAACCCAGCACCCTCACACTTGGTAAGCGCTCTACCACTGAGCCACAACCCCACCTCAGTTTTCCAGAATTTTATTGAGAATTTTTGCAACTCTGAAGTTTTTTTCCTTTGTGTGTCTTGCTTTATAGTTTAGTTTATTGTTTTGTGGAGATTGTGTATGCATTTTGATAATTCATCTTTTAGGAATTGTCTAGTGGAATTTAAGAGATTATTATTTGTTTGTTGATAATTTACAATAAAATGATTGTTTTGGGGACATTGAGCTCTATCCTTCCTTGCTAAATTCTCTTATTTCTGGTACCTTGTGAAACTCTGATTTTATATACAGTCATACTGTGTGAAGGTTTTATTCTGCCTCTCATGTGTAAACTATAGTACTGAAGCTCAAGTAGTGAGTAAGGGAGAGTTTTTCTTTTTATCTGTATACCATTTGATAAATTCAGTAAGAATGATAGAATAATATAAAGCTATTTCAGTGGCCTAACACTTTCTGTGTAGGCACTAATCAAAAATGAATGCTAAAACTGTTGAAAAATTCAGAGGAAATTCTGTAATGGGTAGATCAAGTTGACACTGACTGAAGCTGCTCACCAATTTTAACACTGCTAAAATAATAAGATAGGCAGACCTTATATGTCTGCACATGTGATGTGTAGAATATTCTAGTAAATCTTTTTATATCTTCTGTTTCTCATATCTATCTCTACTTTCTTGAATATATTGAGCATACTTAAAAATGGCTGTTTTAATGTCCGTATCTACTGATAGTTTCTGGGTCTGTTTTTATTGAGTGGTTTTTCTGTTAGTTATAGTTTCTTATTCCTTGCCCTCCCTCCCCTTTTTATGAGTATTGGTCATTGTGACTTTTTGTATCATTGATTTCCAGTTTTTGTTTTTGTTTTTTTTTTAGGTAGTATTGGGTTTTGTTTTAGCATATGGTTTAGCTAATTATAATCCATTTTATTATCTTGAGCCTTTTAAAATTTTAATAAATCCCACATTACTCTGTTGTAGAACTAATATGCCCCATGTGTTATATGGTCTGTCCACTTTGGCTTTAGGTTTATTCTCACATATTCACAGTGCAAAACTTACCCGAAGATTCAAGGGACCTTTCTGAAGAGATCTCCCTTCTTCACACTCCTGTGTTTGTTTTTTCTATTACTCTCCTTCCCTGTTCCTTCATTTCCCTCATTTTCTTTTCTCCCTTACCTACTCCCTTTTTTCTGGTACTCTCACACATTCAAAGCATCTTTCTCTTATCACCCACACTCCCAAAACTCCTTTGTCTGCTGAGATTATCAAGATAGGCTCCTCTTCTTGTATTGTGGCTATAATGCTTTTTTTAAAATAATTTATGTTTAGCAACATTTCATTATATATGTGAATTTTAATGTTTTTTAAAAGTTTTTAATAATGCAATATTTTTATAAGACATTACAGAATTATATACTCCTTATTAGCTATGCTTTCCTTTTCATTTAGCATGTGTTGACAGATGTTTAAAATTGAGATTAGGCCAGTATTGCCTATAAGTGATTATAGTGAATAATTAAAGGCAGGTATTTAAATTTTTCATACAGAACTATATTGAGACCTGTTGTATTTGGTCAAATAAGAGCAAAGTTTTTTGTGTGTGTTGACTTGTCTTTTGTTTTTGTTTTTGTTTTTTTAAAGAAAATCTTAATAAACAGAATCAGAATTTCTCAGTTACATCTCAGGGTTTTTTTTGTTGTTGTTGTTGTTTGCTTTTTTTTTTTTTTTTTCCTATATTGATATACTTTATTTTATAACCTCTGCTAAAGAAATTGTTTTTCTGTTTTTATAGTTTTGGTAAGCAGTTTGGAGGAAAAAGAGGATGTGATTGTCTTGTATTAGAGCCTTCAGAAATGATTGTGGTAAGAACTTTAAAGAATGCTGAATTTTTATTTTAAATGTTTCAGTTTCAACTTCAAATGTAGTAGGTCTTAAACCCTTCGGGAGGTTGCATTGTCAGAGATTTTAAGTAGCATGAGAACTATGTATCACCTTTTTCTGATCCCTAAGAGAATGGGAAACATGATACAGTTATATATAACATATTCCAAATTTGTTAATTTCTTTTGCCCATTCCACCAGAAAACTAAAGGTTTGGGGAAAGAGACTATGATTTTTTTCAAATGTTTTCTTCTTTTTCATTAAATTCAGTCAGGAAACTTTGAATATCCAAGTAATGTACCCTGGAATATAGGGGTAGAAGATAGAGAAAAGTTAGAGTCTTACAAGCAGACACAAGTAAGAAGTGATCTGCATCTTAATATTTTTGCTTTGTAATACTTCGTTTATATACTTCATTTCCTCCTCCACTTCTCCCCTTTTTCTTTTTTCATTAGAAGAATCAAGAGCAATAGTTCCCTTTTATCTTGTTCTGAGATGCCTTTACTTGAAAATAGCATATGCTCAAATGGATGCATTGAACTATGTAATGTTTTGAATAGCCAACAATAAAAAATTTAAAAAAAATTTTAAATTTGTAAATGATTTAATTTTAAATGTGTAGATGATCATGTCTTACAATTTGATTTGAACTTTTGAAAAGTAAGGTTGATTTCTTAATGAATATCAGGGTTGAGAGCTAACCACTTTTCCATTTCATGATACTATAGTCAGATTAACATCTTCAAACAGATTCCTCTTTCCCTAACTGAATCATAACCATAAATTTAGGCTTATAAAAACATTTAGGTTTTATAAAAACAACTGGAATTTGAGCTTCTTATAGGCAAATATTATGTTTTCTTTGGTTTGTGTCTCTTGCAGTACAAAAGTAGTTTACTCTTTTTCTTGGGAGACACATTCTAAATGTCCCCTCCCTCCCCAAATGGATGCCTGTAAAAAAAAACTATACATGTACCATGACTTTTCCTTTGCACACACACAAAAGTTCAACTTAAAAATTAGAGTAAGTGATTAACAAAAATAATAAAATAGAACAGTTATAACAATACAATGTGTAAAAGTGAATGTGATCTTTCTCAAAATTCCTGATACTCACCCCTCTTTTTTGTTGACTATGTGTGACTGAAACTGTGGAAAGCAGAATCACAAATGAGGGGGTTACTGCTTTATTGAAGAGAGTTGCCTGCATAGTAAGTGTTCAGTGTACATTGCTTGAATTTAGGTTTGTTTAAAGCACTGATATATTGTTTTATATTTACTTTTTTCATTGAATATGTGGGCTACTTGATAAGGCCTCAGAATTCTCTTTTTAAATAATAGTATTGAGGGACTGAGCAAGAAAACTGTTCAGGTAGTATATATTTTTATATATATTGGTTGATATATTTTATATTTTGTATAAGAACAGCACTTATGTACATTGTGTTTTTAATACATGCTACACATTCTTGTTGTTTCATTTGTTTGAGGTTTGTTTTGTTTTGTTTTTTTTGGTACTGGGAATTGAACTGACATTATTTAAGCCACACCCCTAGCCCCCCTTTTGTGTTTTATTTAGAGATAGGGTCTCACTGAGTTGTTTACTCCCTTGCTGATTTGCTGAGACTGGCTTTAAATTCTTGATCCTCCCCTCAGCCAGCCAAGCTGCTGGGATTGCAGGCATGTACTACCTTGCCTGGGCACTGTTGTAGTTTTGTACATAAGGAAGAAGAGAAAACTCATGAAGCCAATTAGTGTACAAGGTACTTCAGGCTTATCTTATACTTTCTCTGACCCAAACCTTGAGTTAGTTTTTCTTTAAGGGCACTTCCTTTGTTTTATTGGAGAAAAGTATATAGAAACCATGATCTGGCTGCCAGTTCTATTTATTGCTACAGGTATCTCATTACTTTTAGCTCTCAGTGAATAAAGCTAGAAAATTATGTCTCTTGCATGTACTTGTGAGCATGCACATACACACATAGCTACATAAACGCTTGTTGTTTTCTTTTTCTTTTCTTTCTTTTTTTTTTTTTTTTTTTTTTTGTGCATTACTAGGGATTAGACCCAGGGGCACTCTACTACTGATCTACATCCCTGGCCCTTTTTAAAAAGTAATTTTTTATTTTGAGAGAGGGATTTCACTAATCTCTGAGGCTGATCTTGAACTTGAAGTCCTCCTGGCTTAGCCATCAAGTTGCTGGGATTATACGTGTGCATCACTGCATCCAGCCTTTATTTCTTTTTGTCGTATATCTGTTAAAAACACAAATTTTATTCTGGCATTTTTAGTACTTCCTTTTATTAAGGGATAACCTATTGGTTTCTATAATCGATATATATACTTAAAAATAAGCAATTTAAGAATTGTTTTGCCATAATATTGTAGAAAGTACTAATAGTGAGAATATTAGCATATACAAAAATACACATTTGCAGATGTTTATTTTAGTGAGATGTGACAAATGTGTGCTCTTTATCACCACTTCATTACCAACATATATTTTCTTCACCCACCCACAATTTAAGGAACTATTCGAAGAATTATGACAACCCACTAAAAGGACACAGGAGCCAGGTTGAAGGGACTCTCACTGGTGAAATCTAGTATACTAGGGAATTCAAATGTACTAGTAGATATACAGCATTTTATAAGTCCTAATAACATGAATGAGTTAGGGACAAGAGAACACTCTTTCTAACATAATGCTATCTTACAAGTAGTATGAAGGAATGATTAAGTTAAAAAAATCTTTAATGCTGAAACTTGTTGGGATGGGGGGAGCTAATGTTTGATGAGAAAGAGAATATATATGCAATCTCAGAGTATGTCCCCACAAATCATTAATGAAGAGAAAAATTACCAAGTTTCTGGTGGGAAAACATAGCAGACACTATCATAACAGCAATTATTGTTACCACCATCATGTGGGCACAAGCTGATGTCACACAACTGATGCGATGCACTGAGAAGGACAGAATGTCACCTGTGTGACATAGTCCTACTAGCAGTGCTTACTTGAGATTAATCATTAGGAAATATTAATCAAATTGAAAGTCTATAATTTGGCCTATTCTTTAAATATCCTAGTGTCGTGCAATACAGAGAAAGATTAAGAAACAGTTCTAGACTAAATGAGGGGAAAAAACTAAAAAATGCAATGCTTCATCTTGTGTTAAATCCTAGAACATAGGAGTGATAGCAAATGATGTTGGAATAATTGATGAAATTTGAATTGAGCAGTGCCTAGTGGTACACACCTATAATCCCAGCAATTACATGATAGGCTAGTCATGTTAATTGGTCACATTATAAAGTCATATTGTTTTTAAAAGACTGTAAATTTGTCATCTTCAACTTCATATCAAAAATTCATCTTGTCGGGCTAGGTATGGAGAAATTAGAGCCCTTATAACATTAATGGAATGTAAAATGGTACAGCCAAATTAGAAAAGTTTGACTTTTCCTCAAAACAGTTAAAAAGAGTTATCATATGATCTATTAGTTTTATTTCTGTGTATACCCAGGAGACTAGAAAACATTTGTCTATATAAAATCTTGTAAACTAGTATATTATTTATAATATATAGGAAAAATTATCCCAAATGTCCATTACCTAGTTAAATTGATAAACAAAATGTCCTATCTTCATATGAAGGAATGTTATTGTATCATAAAGAATGAAGTAGGGCCAGCACAGTGGCACTTGCCTATAATCCCAGCAGCCCGGGAGGCTGAGGCCTGAGAATCGAGAGTTCAAAGCCAGCTTCAGAAAAAGCAAAGTGCTAAGCAATTCTTTAAAACCCTGTCTTTAAATAAAATAAAAAATAGATCTGGGGATGGGGCTCAGTGGTGCTCAGTGGTTGAGTGCCCCTGAGTTCAATCCCCACCTGCCCCCCACCAAAAAAAAAAAAAAAGAATGAAGTGGGGCTGAGGCTTGTAACTCAATGGTAGCGTGCTTACATAGCATGATCAAAGCCCTGGGTTTGATCCCCAGCACTGGGAGATGGGAAAGTGAAGTACTGGTACCTGGTGCAATTGGATGAAACTCAAAAATGTTAACTGAAAAAAGCTAAACACAAAAGGCTACCTGTTATTTGATTCTGTTTATAAGAAATATACAGAATAAAGAAATTCGTAAAGATAAATGATAAGTGATTACTTGGGTCTGTGAAGAGGGAAATGGATACAGATGGATATGGATATAGGATTTCTTTAAGGTGATGAAAATATTCTGGAACTAAATAGTAGTGATGGTTGTACAACTTTGTGAATATATCAAAAGCCACTGAATTGTGCCCTTTTTTGAGGTGTGAATTTATAATATGAATTCTATATCAATTTAAAAGTTGTGTGAGAAAAAAGAAAACAGGACAAAGAAGATAGGACATTTTGTTTATCAATTTAACTATTAAACCAACAAAGGTAAACACTAGAATGAAAATAAATGAGTTCCTAAATATCAAAAAAAAATTTTAGTCAACAAAGAATACATATCTCATAATGTGATAAATATTGCAAATACACATGATTATAAAATGTTACTACAAGGTTGAGATCCAAAATATTAGTTATAATAGTAATGTGAATGGGGTTCATCTACTTTTTGTTAAAAAAGAGATTGTCAATTAGAGTCACAACAGAGAACCCAGTCGTGTATTGTTTACAATAGACACTTTAATGATTTGAGAAGGCTACAATAAAGCAGTGGTTAGTGGTATACTAAACAGGTAAGAATCAGAGAGAACAGTTCTGTGTAGTAATTTTATAGCATAAAATGTGGAATTTAGCCAAAAGCATTAACTATGGCATAGAATGATATTTTTAATACTAAAAATCATCGTTTATAATGAAGGTACACACGAATATTTGTGCACTTAATTACAGAGAACCCTTCTCTGTAAAAATCTACAGGAGATTCAGTGAAATATAAACTACTAAAAGAATTTAATCTTCTGTTCTTAGTATAAGTTAAATCAA